AGATGCTGCTCTAAAAGTAAAGGAAGATATAGTTGTGTTTCCAGAAAGTCCTTTAAACAAAGTAGTCACAGGTGTTTGCATATATGACGAACCAGATACACGAAAGGAGAATGTTTGGAGCTTTGGACAGGAAACTAAGAATTTAGCAACAATTTCTTGATCTTCCTCTGAAAGCGTATYGGCATCTAAAACTTCAATGTTAAGATGAACAGGGTGCTGTACTTGTGGAAAATTCCTGCAGGCTTCTACGACCATCAGAAAGTTTACATGGATCTCTTCCATTTCTATACCTAAGTTCCTAATTTCTACAGTCGGTGGAAATGGGATGAAGGAACAAAGAGTCATTGCCATTTGTTCAGCATTTTGACTTTCACTGAAACTTTCAGTAAAAAAAGTAGCTTCATCTTTAGAGCACTTGAGCCAGTCCCAGTCTTCACTCGCAAGCGTCTCACCGATCTGTTTGAAAAGAACACTAGCGTCCTTACCTAGGATACCAGACACAAAGAGAAACACTTGCCGGTATTTGACAGTGATTTTAGAAAACTTGAACTTCAAATCAACGACACTAGGGTCCTCGCCCAGCATTCTAGATGCAATGAGGAACTCTTCTCGGTATTCATCAGTAACATGCTCTTGAAAATGTAACTCAAATTGACAGAAAACATCCACTCCCTCTTTCAGTAGCTTGTATGCGAGATATGTTGCAGCCAAGTACTCTTGAAAGGTCTTGTGAAAAAAGTGATACTCGTGTTGTGGATTTATCTTCTTCATACTTGCTTCCTTGAAAACAAGGCCAAGTCCCCGAGCTGCTAGATCTTTAATTTTACTTTCAAATTCTACCAATTCATCTTCACGAAAAGAAAACTGATGTTCTAGCAGGCATCTCCAAGCTAACTCTCCCAACACTAGTAAACTGTCTTCAAATAGTTTCTCTACGGCTTGGTCATCACCAGGTGCTTCCAAGTTATGTTTTGCACAATACCTCCTTAAAAGACATCGGATGATGATCTGATAAAGTTCTGTGCGAAAAGATGGCA